TCTAGTACCTTGTTTGTGTTCCTAACTCTGTCTCAGCATCTGTTTCCTAGGGAGTCCACCTGGCACATTTGAACATATGATCAATACTGTTGTTTCCAGGAGGAGAACAGGGAAATCTATGAGCCACGGATGTGGATAATCTGATTTACAAGGTGTAGCTTGCTAACCTTCAGGCTGGGCTCCGCCACTCACCTTGTCACAGGTCCCCCTTTGGCTGTGCTGCTATGAGCCACCCTACACAGCACCAGCCGGGAGTGAAGACCTCAGGACCTGGCCTCTTCAGAGTCCAGAAAAAGGAGGAGTTTCTGCCTCTCTGTTAAAATCGGTTTTTGCTTGAAGACCCACCTTTTCCATCAGGACCTGACACAAATTATGCTTTCTCTAGAGATGGTGAACTTCTTCTGGAAGGCTTTCATGGAAACCTTGTCGTAACACACAATAGTCCTGGTGTTCTTATAAGAAGAAACATGGGGAGTCATGGAGCAGGTGGTGGTGGTGGGTCCTCATATCATCGTGGAAAGCAATCCCCACAGCGGAGCTGAGAGATGAGGAAGGCTTGAATTATGGCAAAGGCTGTGGGAGTAGGGTGGATGTGGGGCTGGGAGAGTGGGTCAGAATGGACCAGATTTCATCACTTCAGGGAATGAAGGAGACACTAGTGACCATCACGAGTCTGACTGAGGTACCTGGGGGATGGGGATGTATTTACTTTGTTGGGGACCCAGGAGGAGTTGGAGGTAATGTGGGGGAGAAAAGTGACTTCGATTCAGTATCTTTTGATTTGGGGATGCCTGTGGGATATCTAAGGGAAGGCATCCCGATCGCTGCCTGACTTTTAGTTTTCTTTCGTTCTGCTTGCAAAATCAGAGAGAAGCAGCATCCTGTCAGGGGCTGTTGCTTTCCCTTTGGTCTCTCTGCTGGGTTTTCTCCAGCCCCTTGCCCTCAGGCAAGAGAGGAAACAGCAGTGCAGTCTGCTGGGGGCTGCAGGGCAGGCTCTTAACACAGCAGGGCCCTTCAGATGTTCCGAAACTGACAATCCCAGGTCTACCACCTGCCAGCATCTGTTCCCAGAGACACAGCATCACAAACTCTCCGGACTGGAAGGGACGTTAGAGGTCATCCATTCCAGCCTTGGGGTTGGCATTCTCAGACTGTTCTAATAATTTAAGAGTTCCTCCTCCTATGAATGCAGGAGGCTTTCTTCTGACTTCTCCTTAATATGCTGTTCAAGACCTGGTCCACCCGTGCGCTTCCTTCCTCTGGAGACGTGTCCCGGGGGGCGGGGGGGGTGGGGGAGCTCACGTTTGTGGGTCCAGTAGGGAGGGATGATGCTACAAGGCCAGACTGGAGAACACAGTTCTTTCTGTCCTTCACACTACAGCTACGAGAATGGTCTCCATGGTTACGGCAGCTACTCAGAGGTGCCTGGATGTTCATTTTTCTCTATTTCCCTAAATGTCTAATTTATGAATAATCTGTTTAGGTAACCTGCTGGAAAGTTTCTGTATGTATATGAAAATCAAGAAATATATACTCAAAACAACAAAAAAATGTAGGCTGATAGGCATTTTGGGTACATTCTTTTCTTCTACTAATAACAGAAATTAAGATTGACTTGAAAAATTTCAAGTTAAACAAGATTCAATGAAAGAAACACTGCCTTCATGTTCTTCAAAGGCATGTGAGCCAGAGAGGGTCTGGAGCTAACCTAATTATGTTTTCTTTAATGTGAAATAGCTATTTGCCTGACATTCCATTTGCATCTCCCCATCACATTCAAATGGCTGGGACATTGATTTTTTTTTTTTCTCCTAGGGCTCCCTTTGAACATGAAAGTGTTTTTTCCTATTTTTTTACCCCTTGTGAGAGCAGTGATAAGAACAGATCGATAATTACATTGTTGGATAAAAATGAATATATAAATTTTATTGAAAAACAACACCAGCAACAATGTGGGGAAAGCATACTCAACAGCCACTGGCCCACACAACTCAACACACACGTTATGAAAAGTAATCACCTCTTAAGATTTCCAGCTACTTATTCCAAATGAAAAGAAATGATAGACCCCAGATAAAACTGATGTGGGACACGGACGCCCATCACCTCTGAACACACTGTTAACAGCAAAGCATGTGGCAATGCTGTTCACCTCATGTTTGCTGGGGGCGATCTAGTGTACTTCAAGGATGAACTGGTTTAGAGAGAATTTATCCTTCCAGTTAGCATAGCATCTCAAACCCAGACCACTGGGGAAACTTTTTTACATTTCAAGTCCTTTGAGAAGAGGATTTCACAAACTTTCTTGGCACCTTGCCCCTCCTGCTTAAAAACAGGAAATAGTTCTTTATGTCTAGCCTAAATCCTTCATGCTTCAGTTAATCTATTTATTTCCTTTTAATCTCAGCAGGCCCCGAGGAGTCTGTCCTGGTGGGACAATGCAGCATATGGGGAACTCACAATGATCATAATCAGATTGAAACGGAGTCCAGCTGTGCTGCTGGCGCGTCGGAAACAAGCTGAAAGGAGTTAATTGCAGTTGTGGTTGTAGCCCATTTGCCCCCCACTCCGGCACCCTCCCCGACCTTCTGCACCCTTCTGCCTGTGGCCTGAGGGCTGCCATCCCAGGCCTTGCCAGCCAAAGCCCTGAGTGTGATCAGTCTCGGTCCTTCACCTGCGTAGTAACGAGAGCGGTCAGAGCTGTCCCTTCCAGTCCCATATCCAGTGTTTGCGTTTCAAGGCGCGATTTCCCGGCAAAAGACTCCCCAGTATTACATGCTGTGTCTTCTCACCCGGCCAGCAGGCCCCAAGCTCGCCTCACAGCTTGCGCGTGGCAGAGATGTGCTCCGTGTGCACACGAGGAAGCACCCAATGAACTGAACATAAACATCTCAGCAGCATATTTCAAATTCTGCGTAAAAAACCCTGGCGGGCGACTCGGCCGCGCACTGCTGCTCGCCGGCAGCTCCGCGTTTTGGGCACCAGGGGGCGCGCGAGCCATTCCACCGGTCGCGGGGACTCCAGCACCCGGAAACAAAGATGGGGATTTGAATAAAAGGCTTCGAAATGCAACCCTGAATTCTACCCTGAGCAGCATGCGTGTAAAAATTCATGAAGATTGGATTTCATTTCATGTATTTTTACTTCAGTGGAAAGAAATACAGGTGATTTCTGTGCCTACAGCTGTCTTTAGGAAGGGGGGGTCTGGTTAACGCAGAGGGAGGGGCGCGCGGTTGCTCCGCAGGTGGGGCCTGGGCTTGGTTCCTGGGCAACTCCTACTGTGCCAGGTGGCATCCTCTGCCTGCTCCAGAATGTACCGATTAGTTATATTATTTTAAAAAAGATACATGTTCTCATCCGGGCTAGCCATGGCTCTGGGTCCAGGGAGTGACATGAGTCATAGAAGACACTATTTGGATAAAACACAGCACCTTTCTTTCAGCCCATAAAATCAAAGGTGTGAAAAAAGGCTGTTTTTGGTGTGTAAGAACTCCCCTTGTTTTCCTGTCGTAGTTAGTGCACAGCGGTTCTGCCTCTGGGGCCTTTGTGCATTTTCCAGGCATGCGTATCAACTGTGCCAAAGGCTTGGGAGGCAGAGCCTGCCAGAGGGCACGGGACACAGTCCAGGGGAGAGCCCAGACCCCCATGGTGTTCTACCCTGGTGTTCCAGGGCCCCCAGCCTGGGCACCCCTGTCACATGGCTCTGGGCCAGGTCCAAGCTGGGTGGCAGCAGGGACCTTTGGGGAGATGCGGGACTGAAGTTCCAGGGAACTTTAGGCAGGCCTGTTCGGGGGAGGCTGCTGCTGCCCACCCTGAGCTCTGAGATGGCAGGGGCAGGACCCCCTGGTTCCCTCCATAACCCCAGCATTGAGCATGGAGCCCCGTGCTAATTAAGTGCCCCATGAACATTTGCTGAATACACAAATGGGAGGATGAAGGCAGAGGAGGTGTGAGCATCCGCTGGCCTGGCTGTCGCTGAACTTGACGACATTTAGAACAGTAGTTGGTGGGGGGGGGGGGGGGGGGCACTGGGCCAGTGCCCGCTCTCGGGGTGAAGGCGCGGAGACGGGAGGGGCCGCAGAGCAGAGCAGCCAGGAGGCGGGGAGCCCCTGCAGGGGCTCCTCGTGCTGGGAGGGGGCTGCAGTGGCCCCGCAGGGCCTTTCCCTCCCTCCCTCTGGGCTGCCCTTGCAGGAAGGAGCCAGCCTTGCCGCTGTTGCCATGGCAACATAGGCCTGAGGTGCTGCTGAGGGCCGAGGGGCAGCTGGGGCTCCTAGGGCTGGAGCCAGCGTGGATGGCAGGACCCCAGGGGTCTCTCATGTCAGAGACAGGCAGGAAGGAAGATGGGATGCAGACAAACACAGAAGCGGCTCCCGGAGCGGTTGGAGGTCCCCTGTGCAGGCTTTGCTGGTAGGGAGCCTTGGGGGCTGGCAGAGCCCTGTTATTTCATGAGTCTCCTTGGCACTACGGTATTTGCAGTCCTCCCTGCCTGGCCTCCCTGCCCGGGTCTTTAGGGCTATCACCAAGGCCCCCCCCAAGGGCCTAGCAGCCTCTTGAAGCTCCCTGTGAAAGTGCAGGCCGGGGCCTGAAGCCCAGACTCTGAGAGGGCCTGGAGGGCCAGCGACTCCCTAGACTGAACTGGCCCGCAGGCCCGTCGGGAGCACGGAGTCGGAGGCCTCACAGCCTCAGACTCAGGTGGCAGGGCTGCTGCATTGTCCCCCGCCCTCTAGCCCTCCCCCCAGGCCACCCAAGAGCGGGCCCTGGGAGCCCCCTCATGACCTTCCTATTGCCACATGGCCATTATGTCCAGGGACCGTGGAGCCTCCGGCCAGGCGCGGGCTGGCCAGCTTCCTCTTCACACCTTCTCTCTTCTAGGGCTCTTGAAGAGCAAGGGGCAGCAGGAATGCAGAGGGTCAGGTCTGGGGGAAAAAATGGTAGGCTGACCGTCCCTGGGGTCCAGGAATTGGTGAGAAACACCGAGGCTGCCCGAAACGGGCTCTGTGATTCAGGATGACTCAGCCTTGCAGATCAGGTCCCTCTTGGGCACGGAGGAGAATTCTCTCATCATCACGTGAAAAAGCTTTCTGTCTGGGCAACCTCCCTGCTTCCCCACATCAGCCCTATAAAGACAACAACAGCATTACTACGCGAAGGGGGTGTCTGGGCAGTGGTGTACCCTTTACAATACCTTGGATTTACATAGCACCTTTGTCTTCTAAAGGGCCTTCGCCTCAGTCCCCTGGGCCACGGCCACACCCGGGTGAAGCCATGGGAACGCCAACATCCCCGCCTCCGTGGCAGAGCAGAGAGCCTGAGGCAGAGGCCTCGAAGAGACTGCATGCAGACTTGGTGGTGTCCAGGGCTCTCCGCACTTCCGTTGGGCCCTCCCTGGGCAAGTCTGGCCTCGGCCCTCTGGGAGGGGGTGGCCGGGGGGCACCAGGCATCACTGGGCATTCACTTTGTATTTCAGGATGTAGGAGTAGAAGTTGTGGTTGGCATTCTCCAGCACCATGACGTAGATCTCGTGGCAGCCGGCCGTGCTGCAGCTGCCCTCCCAGTAGCCCTCTCTATTCAGGGTCAGGGGCCATGTGTCCTGCCCCTTCACCAGGGCTTTGGCGATGCCGTGGAGCTTCAGTTTGAATGGGATGTTCCGGTTGGCAGGAAGCACGCCCGACAGAGGCTCCAGCAGCTCATTGTCCTGCCCCCAGTTGCCAAAGCTCTCGGGGAACATGGGCCAGTTCACCTTGGTGTTGGTGCAGCACAGGAGATAATTGAAGACGAAGACGTAGTTGCCTGGCTCCAGCCTCTTCTTGACAAAGATCTTGAGGGCAAACTTGCCGGCCTGGGGCAGCTGGACCTTCAGCTCTGCCCGCTTCTGCCGCTGCACCTGGAAGATGTAGCGTCGCTGCGTCTCCTCAGTGATGGGGCCCTCATCCCCATGCAGGGAAGCCAGGACGCTGATGCCCTCCTCCACGCCGAAGCTGACCGAGCAGCGCCCGTCGCTGGTGTGGATGATGGGGTCGGGGTGGGAGGGATTCACGATGCCCATCTGCTCCGAGAACCAGCTGGGGCCCACGGGCTGGTGCAGCTCAGCCGGCAGCCGGACACTGATGTCCACGTAGTTGCACTTGAGCGTGTACTCCAGCACTGAGCTGTAGATGTCAGAGTTGCCTTTGGCAAAGATCTGCAGCTTGTGGGTGCCCACCGTTGGAGGGTATATGTCCAGCTTCATCCCGTTCTTCCTGAGGCTCAGCAGCCCTTGCTCCTGCTTGCCATTGAGCATAAACATGAAGAGTGTCGGGGCACAGCTCTCGATGGTGACGGTGGCCTTCCCGTTCACTGTGGAGAGAGAGAACCGGGGTCAGGTGGGGTGGGGCCAGCGTGTGCCGACGTGCTGCTAAATGTTTAACAACTGGCTCTCCGTGGGAAGAAGCCCTGACTCTAGTATCTGCCCATCTCCATGGTGTAACTACTCTCAGCACCCTGGATTTTAAGCAGTCGAGGTGAAGTCACCGAACACGATGTAAGCCAGCTGCGGAACATCACTGGAGGGGCTCCCCTCCCAGCTGCAGGTGGTTCTCTTAGGGTGTGCTGAAAGCTGAGGGTCTCGAGAGAAAATCTGCCCCAGCTGTATGTGCTTGCCTCACCCAAGTGATTCTCCTTAGATGAAAAGTGGTCCGGAGGCTTAGCCTGATTCCAGAGAAGGGGAGAGGGCCCAGGGGCAAGGAGGGCCCATGACTGGTTGGAGGGCTGCCCTTTGTCTCCTTCCAGTCTTAAGTCTTGCTTCACATCGCTCCCTCCAGCATCTGTTCATTACAGTGTCAGCCCTGTCAGGTGAACATAGGACCTTAAAACCCGGCGGGACCGGCTTCACCACTGGAGGCGGTGCTCCAGGGGTGGGGCTGCCTCCTCCCCTCCCCCTGCCCCAACCCAGGACTCACTTGGGCGAGACTTGGCCCGTCTCTGGAGGGCCTTTTGCATCCACTCTCCCTCTGCCTCTCCCCATGCCCTCCAGTTTTGTCTTCCTCTGTCCTAGTCAACTGTTTTTCAGGGTCAGTTCTCTGGTTCTATAGCCCATGAGCACTCCCTACCTCATCCTCCCTGCCTCGCAGGACCACAGGGAGGGGCAGTGGCTCCTTGCAGAACCTCAAACCCCTTCCTCTTGGAAGCCCCACACCAGCGCCTTGTCCCAGCAACCTCCCCACCCTTTTGGGGTTCACAGATGAGCGCAAAGGAAGGAGACAGACTACCGCCAGAGCCACTCTCACTAGTGACCTTTCCCTGGTCTGAGGTACGGCGCTCTTGTGGGGAAGCCATGCCTGGGTTCTAGGACAAGTACCCACAAGACCTTCCCTCTAATCTGCCCCAGGGCCCTGGCTCCAGGCTGCTCTGCTCCTGCATTCAGTGCTAACTCCCAACCAGCCAGTGAGAATCCCCCAGCGGCAGCAGGAAAGGCTGGGAGCTTCCTGGCTGGCTCCCCTCTGCTTCTTCATGGGCTTCTTCATCTGGAAAACTTTCCCTGCCTTCCCTTGGCAGGGAACTCCCGCGCCCCCCCTCCCCCCCCACTGCAGTCCCCTTCCACCCATGTAACTCTCATCTGGCCTCTGTCCCCATTCTCCAAAGACTTCGGTGACTTCCTTGGAGCCTCTGGGTTGCTGGCTTGCCCTCCTGAATGCGCTCTTCTCCCCTTGCAGCCCCCATGCTCTCCAGCCCAGCCCACCACCGCCCTGTTCCCTCTGCTGCCATTCCTTCCCTCTCTGCTATACTACTTGTGGGGTGCTTGGTGCTTTGGTGTTATCTTCTTTGTCTACCTTCTTTCTCCACTGCCTCCAGCCACGACAGGACATCTGTCCCATGGTAACCTCCAAAGGAAAGTGCCCAAGAACAACAGACTTGTTATCAGTCTCTCTTGGTTGAATCTCTCCTCTCCCCTGGCTTCCTTTTGTAGGCCAACTTGGTGGACACAAGTTGTCTCAGCCTTCAATTGCTCATGGCCCCGTCCTGTTCCGTCTTGCTTCCGAGTTGGCTGTGAGATCCCACAGAATTCACCTTTGATGAGCAGTGCCACCCAGCACTTCCACAGGGCCGCCCAAGGGCTCTTGGGAAATTGTCTACCTGGTCACTCCTGGGTTCACTTGTGTGGGTCACCATCCAACTGGAGACCAGTGACAGTCCTGTCCCCTCCCGCCTGGCCTGAGTCAGGACCCTCCTTTTCGGGACCACAGGGCATTTTCCCACATATCCCAGAGCCCTCACACCTGTCCTTCCCTCCACCGCTTTCCCCCCAAACTGATAAGACCTTAGCATGACGTCTGACTGCAGAGAAGCCTTTTTCCGTGCCCTCAGGTGAGGTCCAGCTCCCCTGGAAGCCTCTCTCGTAGCTCCACATCTCCTTCAGGAAACTTAGCACCGTTGTACTGAATTAGTTCTCTGCAATGTCTGTCTTCCCTGCAGGGGTGAGCACTGTGGGGAACTGCCCTCCTGCCTCTTTCCTGCGTGTCCCAGGGCTGCCCAGGGCGCCTGGCCCAGCAGATTCTCTGCAAAGGTGAGCTGAATGGCTGGAAGACTTGAAAGAAGGACTCTGGGGATTCTGGGAGAGCCTGTGACCTCCCCTGCATGCCCTCTCCCTCCAACCCCTCTTCCCCATCAGTGCACCCCACCCTCCACAGCCCCCTGTCCTTTCCCTTCCCTGCTTTTCACCCACCTGTTCCCCTCTCCGGCTTTCCTCCCATCCCCACTCTTAACACAACTAGCTCCAACAAAGAAATAGTCTTGAAATATGCATCACGAATATGGAATCAAATCTGAGATTCCTGTATATCAAGAAACCCAGTATTTACATTTCTGTGTCTCTTGCAAAGGCAAGTTCTACTCCATGGCAATCATTGGACGTTGGTGTGGCCTGGACCATTCTTCCCTGTGGTTCCATGGCCCACACCAGTCCGAACAGGCTCCTCATCTGATACGAGCACAGGAAAGGCATTCTCAAAGACAGCAACCTCACGTTGTTATTTTAGCAGCAGGAGCCACCAGGTATTTGTAGTTTTAAAAACGTATTCAAGAGCTCAGCAAACTGGTTAAGGAAAGCAGTGTGAGGTGGAAGGGACGAATCAGCTGGCAGTAACTTGGGGACACCTGTGCTCCCCGTGACCCTGTCCCTCTACAGTGTGGGGTGGGGCTCCCCTATAGACCCACCCAGAGACCCCTCTGTGCTAACAGCCAGTGTGAGCTCAGACCCTTCCCTCCTGGGAGTATGCAGGTCCCCTGGTAGCAGAGATGGTGCCAACAGGGGGGGGGTTGCTTAAGTGTGGGGGTGTGGGTGTGGGTGCGGGTGGGGGGGTAGGTGCGCTGACTAGGCTGTGCTGAGCCCTGTAGTGTGTCCAGGTTATGTGTCCGGCCCTGGACCAGGCACCAGGGCCTTGGACACACATAAGACAAAGTCCTCTGCAGTCCGCCCTGCGAGGCTCCTGACTACAGTTCTGTACCCTCTCCCACACAGCTGGCCTCCCCATAAACCTCAGAGTGTACAAACACACCTGGCTGGGTACCTGTGGCCCCTGTGGGGACGTAGGGAACAAAGGTCAGTCCAGGCCAGCCACGGGGACAGCTCAGCTAGGTGTCCTGCCCCTCCTACTCCCAGTAAAGTTGGCTGGAAAAGGCTGAACTTTGCCTCCAGGAGGGAAGCTTGTGAGGGAAGGGCACAGAGGAAGGCAGGCTGCGCCTCTGGAGCCAGCCCTGGTCTAGGGGTGCTTGAGTTCAGGTGTTGGAGGGCTTGCTGTGTCCTTCCAGAGCATGTCCGTCCCTCTGTTTGGTGATGCCTGTTCTCTTCCAGCTCTTAAGATCCAGCTCAGCAGCCACTCCCTAATAAAGCCTCCCCTGGTCCTCTGTCCTGGGAGACCCCCACTGCTCTCCCACTAGCTGCGCAAACCACTGACACACAGAGCTCCGCGTGGCTGGGCCCTGACAGGGCAGTCCTCTGGGGGCCCAGAGGCCTCGAGGCGCAGAGCAGGCTGCTCTGTCCCTGCCACTAGATGCCGGCCACCTGCTCTGTCCCTGCCGCTAGATGCCGGCCACTTGCTCCAGGCTTACCTGTTTTGATCACAGAAGTCTCTGGGTGGGCACTCAGCATTCCCTTGTTGTAGAATTCACTCTTATGATACATGTTGCTCTCAAACTGCTTCAGGGATTGAGGAGGTTTTAGCAGTTGCCAGTTCTTGTTGTCTGGGAAATGGTCCTCGATGAACAGTGCAGGATGGGTGAGGAAGTAGAATTCATTGTAGCTAGAGGTGTGGGGGGGAAGCTGGTCAGTGGCCGTGTGCTCACAGGGGGACCTTTGGGGCCTTCTTTTGTCTAGCGCTTCCATAGGAAGAGTCCTGCCAACAACCCAATGGGGAGAGGCATTATCTCCGGTCTTAACATGGGCACTGCAGATGGCCTCTCAGTGGCTGCTTCCAGAAATAGGGGCCATGGCAGGATCTGTGGCCCCTTTTAAGAGAAGGCCATAGTCCATGTGGAGCTGTGTTCAGGTGGGGATTGGGCTCCCCCTACTCTCAAAGCCCGAAAAAGATCTGAGGGAGCAAAGGCATAAGCCAGGGACCGGGTGCCAACCAGCAGGGTGGAGGGAGGGCAGGCAGGGAGAGTGTTGGGTTAGCAGCCCTCCTGCAGTCCCGGGGCCAATGAGACACAGCTGTCTAGCGGTTAGTGACGGGGGTCAAGAGAGGAACAGGGAGACTCATCTGAGCTAAAGCTTCTCTCTTAGCTTGTATTTGGCCTGTGTGCAGGCCTGTCGAGATTTAAACTGCAAAAATCAGACAATGCTCTCATTTTTCTGGATAAAAAAGAATCTGAGCTGCTGAGAGATGTTATGATCCAGGGTGAATGTCATGGCTTTAGGTTAAGACCATAGTTGGCCAGAGCCTTGGAGACAGATATGCTCCAGCGCCCTGCAACCCCAGCACCCTGCCCCACCGTGGTCACAGTGACTCTGTACCCACAGCACCCCTTCCCACAAACTATAACCTCTTCCTCAGAGATGTGATGTGGCTGCATTTGGCCCAGAGACATGGGGGATGAGCCCTGGCATCTGGGGGAAGCAGATACCAGGAAGAGGATTCTAGCATCCCTGCACTGTAATACAGCCAGTGGGTCAAAGGCCTGAAGGGAATCTACAGATGTTAAAGTAGCTTCTCAGCTCTGCCTTCCTCTCTTGTAGGGCCTTTGGGCAAATGGTGGGCTTTCAGCACTTGGGCGGAGGGAGCGATGGGGAGCCAGAGGAGGGATTTAGTCAGCAGAGGGTGAGGTGACAAAAAGGTCCGGGCCCTTCCTATTGGCTTGGAGCTGAAACATTTCAGAGCTGGAGGGCGGGTGGGAGGGGCCCGCAGCGAGGAGAGGCCACCCTGGCCCTCCCTGCCCTCCCACCTGGCCTTCTCCACCTGCTGCTTCCTTCAACCTCGTGCCTCCCCCATTTCCACCAGCCGCACACCCAACAGCCCTGAGATTTCTACTTACAGGAAGGTGAATTTGGAGGTGGTAGAATCCACCAGGCCACTGCCCCAGGTGCTGTCTACCAGGTGCCATCTCCCCTCCAGGTACACGGCGTTCCAGGCGTGGTCAAACTCCCCCGAGAAGCTCTGCCCCGTCTGGTAGCCAAAGCCCTTGGAGTAGCCAGGCACAGTCATGCACTGCACTCCGGCGGTCCTGGGGGCGGGACAGGGGGTGTGAGAGGTGGCTCCTGAGGGGGCTGCAAATCACCACTACCTGCTCCTCCATGGAGAGCGAGCAAATCACCTCTGACACATCTTTCCCCAGACAGAACCCGCCTGAGTGCTCTGCCTGCCGCTCTTCAGGAGAACAGTGGGTGCAATAGCGAGGATCTCCCCGAGAACATGGAAACCAGGAAAGGATGATGTTCTTAAAGAATCAGAGCAGCTCGAAACACGTGGCTGGGGAACTGGGTCTAGGTGACACGGGTGGGGTGTCAGGGAGGGGTGCTGGACGTGAGGGTACACCAGAAAGCTGAGCCCTACTCTCTCCAGTCATGTGCTGACTGACTGCCATGGCCACAGTTTCAGCGTCCCCTGTAGACGTCCTTTGAGGGGTGGAAATGTTGACCAGTCAGCCTGAGTTCTTCGGCCCTCTTGAGAGTATGCTCCCCCAGTGCTTACAACCACTCTGGCACCACTTTTGGTGGCCTGGACAGTGGGGGATGGATGATGGTCACCTGTGGGGACCACAGAAATCATGGGCAAGCTACAATGCAGGCGCTGTAGCTGAAACCCTGAGGCACCACCCCAAGGCCAAAGCAAGAGCCCAGAGAGTCCTTCCATGACCAGCTGGCCTTCCTCTTCAGCCATGGCAGGGACCAGGGTGGACTGCTCTTCTGACCCAGGGGACGCCCTGTGCGAGTTTTCTTGGGGGCTGTGAATTAGAAAAAGGTATTCCTTCTTTAAGACACTTTCCTTTCACTTCTGGCAGCTTGGTATAATACACACACAGTCTGTGCTGTCCAGGGTGTTCGTGGCAGCTCCTTCCATGGGGCTCCCTGAGTATTCCACAAGCTGCCCTGCGGACTCTGCGCTCGCCTCACACGAATCAGTTCCGTGCTCTGGGTGTTAGCCAGGCCTGGGCACCTCTGGTGGCCGGGGACCTTCTGTGGACCAGCTCTGCAGACCCCAGTGCTCTCAACAAGGGGGCCATGGAGCCTCTCCGGGTAAGGGGGAAAACGGCTCCCAGTTCATTATAGGAACAGGTTTTTTTTTCCCTATAAAAACATATGTTTCTAAACCTTTTTGGTTTTTTTAGAGAGAGAATGAGAGAACATGTGCATGTGAGCAAGCAGGGGTGGGGGGTGGTGGGGGTGGAGGGGCGGAGGGAGAGGGAGAGCGAGAATCTCAAGGAGGCTCGGCGCTGGGCGGGGCTCAACCCCACAACCCTGAGATCATGACCTGAGCCGAAATCCAGTCAGAGGCTCAACCCACTGAGCCACCCAGGCGCCCCCAAAAAGTATGTTTCATTACCCATTAGAATACTGGATTAAATATTACTTATCATTTGTTGAGAGAAACAGTGACGCAAAATGGGGAGCCTGCACGTTTCCACGTTCCACCCTGCTTCTGCCGAACAGTGTCTTGTTCCCACATCGGCCCGAGCTTCCCTCCGCCGTGGGGTGCAGGCCTGCCCTTCCGCCTGAGGCCTCACAGAAGGGGGGCCAGGCCTCCCAGGCTGTCTGAGACATGCCGAGAGAACGGAGCAGCGAGGCGCTCCGGGAAGGATTTCAGGAGCACTTGGGGAATGGGGGCAGACAGCAAGAGGGACAGGATCCTGACGTCAGGTCTTCCTGCTGCTGAAGGGCCAAAACCTACTCCTGGAGCAGAAGGGCCGCCCCGAGGCAGGAGCCACAGGAGGCAGCAGGCCGAGGAGGAGCCCCAGAAGTGCAGCGTGCGTGCCTGGAGGGTCCCCTGCCTCATTAGCTGCAGGTGGGGTGAAGGGGTGCTTCTGGGGGGTCGGAACTGAATGTGTTTACAGTCTCAGAGAAAACAGGCAGCAGAGGGGGAGGGGCGAGAGCCAGGCCAGAAGGGTGGGATGGAGGTGCCGACTGGGGGGCTTCCCTGAGAGGTGGGGCTCTACCTACTCAGAGTGAATGAGAAGAAGTGTGAGGTGAGACATGCTCCTGACACAATATGAACTGACAGAAGCCTATGGAACCCTGCTGTCAGCCCAAGGCCCGAGTGCGTGCGTGCATGTGGGGGGTGTGCTTGTGCAGGGCGAGAGGCAGAGGAGGAGGGCAGAGTGAGACGGGCCGGCTGCACCTGGTCTCCTAGTGATGCGATTATGGGCGATTGTAATTTTCTTCTTTAAACTCCTTTAGATCTTCTAAATTTTCAGTAATGATTATGTGTTACTTTTAGAATTGGAAAAAAGCCATAAATACTACTTGAAATTACATTCTTCGGTGAGTTATTTTCCTTCCTTGCCAAGAAACGTCTGTGTGCATCACCCATTTCCAGGCACGTGTGGAGGGGTGTGGAGTCCTGGGAAGAGTCCTGCGGGAAGCTGGGCGGACAGAGGGGAGCTGCGGCCCTCTGGACATGCTGCCCCCTAGGGCACGGCTCCCCCCGTGAGGCCCGGCCTCCGCTCACAGCGCGCTGTGGTCCGGGAAGGAAGGGGAGCACTGCATGTCCACACGGCCCCCGAGTGCCCCAGTGAAATGGAGCAGGCGCTGCTATGGGCCATGGGGCCAGCTGTGTGCCTGGGCGGTGGGCCTGGGGGCACCCTCCCCCCGAGCGGTGGAGTGGAGGTAGGCTTTGAGAACCAGGTGGGGGAGCAGCCGTGAGAGCCCGACCCCAAGCCCGGGAAGGGCGGGAGGAAGCAGAAGTGGGTGGCTGGATGGGCCGTCACTGGGCCTAGTCAGGCGATCTGGGCTCAGTCTCAGCTCTGTGGTCGCTTCCAGGGTGACCTTGCCAGGCCCATCACGGGCAAAAAGAAAGGTTGACATTAAATGATCTCTGGGGGGTGATGTCTATGACAGGCTGGAGGGAAAAAAAAAAGGCCATGGGGAATGCCTGGGGCAGAATAAAGATGAAAAAAAGAAACTTAGCTGTGAGCTTATGCCATGCTTGACTATGATATGAAGATATTTTATTACCTGGCAGCAATGTGCAAGATGAACTGGACAAAGAAGTCATGATGTAAAGCATTATTGTTAATAATCCATAATTCTCATGCAAAATTGGGGGACTAGTGATTCTAGCTGCTGGTTGCTAGTTAGGATGACCCACAACCATTTCATGCTGTCAAAAGATCACTGACTTTTGTGCAAAGCACTGTACCAGGCACGAGGGGATAATATCATATATCCTATCCTATCATGTAATAAATACTACAGCCTAATAAAATATTCTGAAAGGAAAGTTCATTGGCTGCCCTAGATGTGCTCATTGTTTCAAGGGGGCAGGACAGGTAGACCATTACTAAAATGCTAGTGATGCACACAGCCCTTTTATAGGGGACCCAAAGGAAGAGGAATTTGCTGGAAAGATCTAGGAGAGCACTGAAGAAGAGAAAGAAGATGAGAAATGTTTCCACCTCCTAATGAGATCTCACCAGCCATTCTAGAGCCCCAAATATCATCCCAGGACATCTGTCTAATAACCTCAGGCTGCAGCGTCTTGGTTTTTACTTTTGATAGTTTTAAATTGCCAACACCAGTCGTATCAATTGAGGAGGGGGTGGATCCAGTCTGTGACTATTACTGTATACAGACAGGGTCCGGGTCCTGCCGTGGGAACCATGTAATGCTGCATTAGCCACACCACTGCCAGGCCCCAGCAGGGTGGCCACACTGTCTGGGGTGGGCAATGTGCCCTGCAGGTGTCAGGCTCTGACCATAGTGTACTCTCATCACCTCTCCAGGGTGTGTGGGCCACGCGGAAAACAAGAGAAGGAGGGAGGGATGTAGCCAATGGGAGATGCAATGAAGCATGCTCTTTTTTTTGTACCTTGATGAAAATATTGTGATTCTTTAAAAAGATTTTATTTATTTATTTGTTTGTTTGTTTATAGCACATGAGCTGGGGTAGGGAAGGGGCAGAGGGAAAGAGGAAGAGAGAATCTCAAGCAGGCTCCTCACTGAGTGTGGAGCCTGATGCAGGGCTTGATCTCACAACCCTGAGATCATGACCTGAGCCTAAACCAAGAGTTGGCCACTCAACCGACTGAGCCACCCTGGTGCCCCCCAATTTTGTGATTTCTGTACTGTAGCAGGACAAGCATAACCATGGCATATGTTTCACAGATTATGTAGCTGATTTCTTGTAAATCTGACGGTGCCTCTATTTCTGCTGTACGGCCCCCTGTCCCTTTTCTTGCACCACCCTTAATGGTGAGGTCAGTAACTATAACTGCAGTAATTATTCTCACTCTGAGGCCCTGTGTCGGGCCTTTTGGGGTGTGACCTCAGGGCCCTCCTCTCTGACAAGTGAGGAGTCAGCAGAACAGAGAGCGAGGCTGACTTGCCTGGGGACACACGGCCAACCAGTGGCCAGAGCAGCCTCAGGACTCACTTGTCCTGATGCACACAGTTCAGGAGGCTTCATATGACACCAGCCCCTTAGCATGCCAAGATTTGTTTTAATTTATAAGTGTATGGGTGCAGCAAAATTAAAGGATGGTTTGTTCTAGTGACATCCTTCATCTCTGCGAGCACTAGCCTTTGGTGTATCTACAAGGGCGGGGGAATTCAGATATCTCTTTCAGGGATTTTATATGACAAAGTCAGATCTGGGCATAACTTCAGGTAATCCAGGGTATCTGCCTCTCCCAGGAGGGTGGTGAGATGGTTGCTCCCCAGCCTTTGGGGGCCTTTGGAGCCCACTGATGTGCTGGGATCATCTGGGACATCATGCTGAGCAGAAGCTGGATGCTGCTCTTGGTCTCTGTGACAGCAGGAGGACGGATGGAGAACAGGCTGACATCTAATTGGTGACAACCAGTCTCCTCGGCATCAAAGCCTCAAACTGATACTAAGCTCCTGGCTTTCCCCAAAGTCTCTGGAAACTCTGCTAGCTGGTGGTGCTAGAGTCGTGATAACAGGGGGAGGGGTGGTACTGGAGGCTGACTTGGTGGCAGGAATCTGGGAAATGAAGCTTGGCCCCTGCAAGGAGGTTAAGCAGAATTCATGAAGGAGGAGGGGAACTGAGGCAAGAGCCGGGACATTAATGTTGGATGATGGGAGGTCAGAAAGAAACCAGACCAGCAGTTACAAGCAATAGGACGAAAAAAACAAAAACAAACAAACAAACAAAACCCTCACATTGATTACTTGGGAAAGACGATGAGGAAATGAAGGATGTTGCAAAAATATCTGAGTTCCCCACCAAATTACTTTATTCAATCAGTCTTTAATGAGGCCATTGCAAGGAAGCAGAATGGACGGGCAGAAGTAATGTTGGCCGTGTGGGTACTGCTCTTGCTAAGAGGCCTCCCTGACAACTGAGCCGGGATAAATCAGCAAGTGTGGATTACATGTCTTCTTTTATTAAGGACTCAGCTAATGAATTTACCAAACCTTCGGCAATTATTTGGAAGGTAGGGGAATTAGGAAAGTGATGCATGGGCGAGTTTGCTGATCTTTAAAGCCAAAGTTAAAGGGATCCAGGGAACCGTGAGCTACCGTTAACCGTCTGAGCAGTGTACAGAGTTTTTCACACACTAACTGCCAGGTTAGAACCTAGCTTTAAATGATGCAGAACGTTGGGATGTGTTTTAATGATCAGCTGCAGGCCAGAAGAGGGCCATTGTTAAGCATCTGGATCAGGCCAAAAAGCTGACAGGTTCACTCAAGGCAAGTGTCAATTTTCTGAGTCTATGCGTGTCTGCAGGAAAATTCCACTGCGCAAGAGCATTCCCATACTCAAGAAAGACAGGCAAGGTTAAAAAAAAAAAAAAAAAAACCCAACAACCCCAAAGTCAGGTGAGCAAATTCCAAACTGCATGTTCTCACTTAACCCTAGCACTACGGTCCCCATGTACAGATGGGAAAACTGAGGCTCTGAGAAATTCAGTGCCTTTCCAAAAGAACACAATTAACAAACGGTAAATCGAGGACTGGAAGCTAAGGATGGGGGAGCTGAGGGCTGCAAACATCTTTCTGGCTTTCAGTCTGGCACCTTCCCGCACCATGCTTGGAAGGCTTATACTAGATAAAGAAGGATATATCCTATGACTGAGAAATCCTAGGAATGAAAAATCAAGTTGGTCAACTAAGATGAAAATTATGCTCTGAAAGGTGCCAGGCAAAAATAGAGCCGAAAACAGACTGTTAGTCCATGATTTAAAAAGAGAGGAAGGCCCATTTCATACAAATCTGCTAGGAATATCTTGTCATTTCCAGTCATCGTGGGCCGATGGTGTGTAGGATTCTGAGCTGGGTGTTCACAGGGGAAGCGGAAACAGAGAGAGAGTGGCTGAAGGCACATAAAAGACGTACTAGCCCCACAAGACATTGGAGGAAAAATGAGCCCAGGTAACACAGGTAACACATGTGTTCTATATGATAGAACAAAGTCGGGAAGGAATGGGACCAAATGTTCAGTGTTATCTCTAAGTGGTCAGAGTGACCTAATTTTCTTCTTTTTTGCTTCTGTGCATTTTATAAATCATCTATAATTAACAAGTATTTTTTGTTTACTTTGAAAAAGTTATTAAATAAAAGCATAAGGCAAGCCAGGAGTCTGTGCATACGGTGTGCTGATGACGTCAAGGGAGGGGATGGGGTGGGGTGGGGGGGGTCCAGGAGTGGGGCAGTTAGGAGCATTAGAGAGGGGGGAGCAGAGGGAGCTTGAGGACCCGGAAGTGCGGAGAGTGCCGCAGGGTGCAGGGCTGGAAGGGTGCTGGAGGTCAGATTTTGGAGGACGTTACAGGACAGTGTGAGCCTGTGGGTCCTGTTCAGGAACCCAGGACCTATGAAGTCTGGGCAGAGGGCCAGTGAGGATCCCGGTTCCTGGAGAGGCCCCCAGGCATGTTGGGGTGCCCGGGCCTGGAGCGGGGGCAGACACATGAGGGGTGGGAGCGAAGCACCGCTCTGGTGGAGTGGATAGGCTGCAGAGGGGCTGGCATCCGCTGCAGCCTGACCTGCCCTGGGTGGCCTGAGGGGTGGGGTGTGGAGGCGGGGACCGTGAAGAGCAGGGAACGAGCAGGAGGCTGGGAGCAGGCACATGTCGATGCTTGCCGGTCGTGTTGGGGGATGGGAGGGCCCAACAACAGGGGGTTAGGCCAGGAATGGGCTGCGTGTCTGCAGGAGCAGGACGTCCTGGGCTGCCTGTGTACATCGACGCGTACACCCGTCCCAGACATATCACAGTTGCCCACCTGCGGACTCCTGAGTGTCTGTTGCTGCACTTGGTTTGATGAATCGCCACCTGAGTCCTGGTGGGCTGACCTGGGTGCCTGGGAAGACCCACCCCCAGAGGCCTGCAGAGACGGTGGGCAGAGCCTATCCATCTCCCTAGGGACGAGGCTCTTCAGTGGCCTCCCGGGCTGCCTGATTGTTTCCTGGGGAACCCAGCAGACCTCGGAGAGTGGGCACAGGAAGCTGTGGGGTCGGCAGGGCTCCCCCAGCCTGGAGTCTGTCTCGAGGTCACCTAGGACCAGCAAAGGTGCCTCCGCGCACAAATGGTCTCCTTACCTGCTGTCACCCACCAGGGCAACCTGGCCAAGAGCTCATTCCCAGAGCAATGAAAATGGAGCCCAAAGTCTCCGAGAGAAAAGCTGCTTCCTAGTTATTCAGCTTCTCCAACTGACAAATCTTTTCGGGTAGGAGATCATCTGTTTCCCCCGAGAGAGGGCTCCGGCGCCAGCCCAGAGGACAGGCTTTCACAGTCCCCTTGGCATCAGCAGCCACTGTCCTACTGTTCCCAGACCTGCCATTCTTCTAACCTTCAGCTGTGCAGAGATCAGAGAAGGTGGAAAAGGGGCCTTTTATAACCAAATTATCTCTGCGCATTCATCTGCCATTATGTTAATGCATCGCGAAGGCGGGCAGATGGTACAAAGTCAATTATGCTGGTGTTAAAAAGGGAGAAATTGACCTTTTCAGGACTCACTCGGATTCCAGAGCAGAGTTTGCAAACTCTGGTTTCAGGCCTGGCACGTGGGCGAAGGCGCACGGGGCTTTGGAAGGGGCGAAGGGAGGGGTCACGGCGGTCAGCCCAGGACTGCCTGCCTTCCATGGGACCCCTTCTCGTACCTGCACATTTTCTCAAAGAGTCCAGCATAGCCGTCACAATTGGTCTTCTGGGTCCGCAGGATGTCAGTGGGCTTGAAGGCCTGGCGGTCCTTCTCCTGGGCAGCCTCGATGTCGTACTCTAGAGGGCAGAGGAGGCTGTGAGCCAACAAGTCCTGGGAGGCAACCAAGGCTGGTGCAGAGCAGAGGGGGTCCGTGGCCTGCGGCACCGTCCCCGCCCTCCGCTGTGCTTTCAGCACCATTCGGGCTGGCCTCCCTCAAGTGCCGGAGAAACCACCGCAGGCTGAAGGGAACCAGGGCCCCCAGCCAGGGCAAGGTTGGGGAAATGTCGCCTCCTTGGGCAGGTGGCAAGAGGAAGAGCGGAGCATTGGCAGAGCAGGCTGCCTGGCTCGTCAGGCCTCTGAGGAGAGGCTGAAAGGGAAGGGGACCAAGACAGCACCAGGCCGTGGGAGCTCTGCCTTTGTCCTCCCCACCACACAGCTCGGCAGGCCATTCCCATGAGGCTGCTTGCCCATCCCTGCTGCGGCCACCCCGAAGGCCTCACACTGACCCCCAGGGGGCGCCCTGAGCTACCACTAAACAGGCTGTTCATCTCCCTCCTGGAGGGAGGCCCTGAGGCAGGAATCCCTGTGGGCGCAGAGGGCAAGAAGGGAGCACCTGTGAGGGTGGCAGACAGTAAGTGAAGTCCTACCTAATGCTCTGTTTCTGACTCTGCCCCCTTAAGGCCCGGGCTGAATGGAGCTGCTGGTTTGGGGGAGGGAGGAAATGGCCTCTCAGGCCCTGTGGTCAGGTACCCTACCTGTGTCAGGTGAGTTCCTCCTCTAAGCTGCATCCCTCATTGCTGCTCTGGGAGGACAAAGGAAAAGCCCAGTGGCAGCAGATCAGGAGAGCCCCCGCTGGTTGTCAGGTCACAGGGGAAGCGCTAGAAGTCCACCCCACCACCTGGCTCTTCCATTGACTGCAAGGGGCAGCATCCAGCCTCCCCCTAGCCACCCCCATGGGGCCTGGCTTGACCTGGCCAGACCCTCAAGGCTGTCCCGTGCAGAGCTGCGGACAGGTGCACAGGCCCCTGAGGTTGCTCTGAGTGCCTGGTGATGGGGCTGAGATCGCAGGTGTGGGAACAGGGAGAGGGAGAGGCGAGCCCACTTTTCCTGGCACTGGTGCTTTAAGAAACCTCTGGTGTTGCAATAACTTTCCAACAGCTATGAACCTTCCCCATCCTTCTTGGAGATGACCTTCTGTTCTGGGTTCTCAGGTCTGTGCAGCAGGTTTACCAGGAAGCCAGCACTGAGGGAATGCTGCTGCTGGGTAAAGGGCCTAAGCTCCGGTCACCGACTGTGGGCAGATGGCCACAGGGGATCCCCCACCCAACGACCCTTTATGGAGATTGTTAGTACACGGTGAGTTTTACCCTCCTTGGTTAGTCTTTGGTTATTCAACCTAGCCATCTGGGAACCCTTCTCCTCCACTGTCTGTCTCACTCCATACACACTGGTGGTCAAGTGAATCCCAGAGAGTCTCCCCTAGGAACAGGGTCCTGCGGGGAGTGGCATCAGGAGAGTCCTAGGGCCAGTGGCACCACAGGTGGGCCTACCTATGTGGTGGCAGATCCAGATCCAGATCACGCGGACCCTCTCCAGGTCACTGTGGGCCTCCTGGAGCAGGTCACTCACCAGCTCGTCCAGGCCATTCTTGACCGTCACCTGGGGAGTGGGAGGGGTGTGCTATGTCAGGGCCTGGATGAGGGCGGTGGGAGCCCAGTGCCCTGCCGCCAGCAGCCGGTGCTGCTTTTCCTCTAGGCATAGGAGGAGGTGGAGGAGAGGGCTAGAGGCACAAGGGCTAGGCTGAGCGCAGCCCTTGGTGGGGAGCTGGACATATCAGGTAGTGCTGGCCAGCTGAGTCACTGGCCCTAGAGCCACATATCTTTTCTCGGCAGACTCTGGGGCCAGCCAGGTGGGTAGGCATCTGGGTGGCCACAGCAGCCCCTACTCACGGTCAGTACTACCCAAAGCGATCTACGGACTTAACACAATCCCTATAAAATTCCAACAGCCTTTTCTGCAGAAATGGAAAAGCCAATCCTCAACTTCATATGAAATTGCAAGGGGCCAAAATAGCCAAAACAATTTTGAAAAAAGAACAAAGTTGGAGGACTCACATTTCTGGATTTCAAAACTTAACTACAAAACCATAGTAATCAAAATAGTGTGGTACTGCCACAAGGATTATATAGGCCGGTGGAATAGAACTGAGAGTCTAGAAATTAACTTACACACCTGTGGCTAACTGACTTTTCTGACAAGTATTACAAGGCTATTCAATGAGGAAAGAATAGTCTCTTTAACAAATGGTGCTGGACAACTGGATAACCGCATACAAAAGAATGAAGTTGGATCCCTACTTCATATACAAACACTAACCCAGGGCGCCTGGGTGGCTCAGCTGGTTAAGCATCCGACTCTTGGTTTTGGCTCAGGTCATGATCTCAGGGTTGTGGGATTGAGCCCCGTGTTGGGCTCTGTGCTGGGCAGGGAGTCTGCTTGAGATTCTCTCTCTCTTTCTCTCTCAAAATAAATAAATAAATAGGGCGCCTGGGTGGCTCAGTTGGTTAAGCGACTGCCTTCGGCTCAGGTCATGATCCTGGAGTCGCTGGATCGAGTCCCGCATTGGGCTCCCTGCTCAGCGGGGAGTCTGCTTCTCCCTCTGACCCTCTCCCCTCTCGTGCTCTCTAAAAAAAAAATTCTCTCTCTCTCAAATAAATACATAAAATCTTTAAAAAAAAATAAAAAAAGTCAGCTAGACCTTTAAAAAAATAAATAAATCTTTTAAAAAATTAACTCAAAAAGGATCAATGGCTTAAATAAAAGAGCTTAAATGATAAAATTCTTTGAAGTAAACACAGGAGTAAATCATCATGACCTTGGATTTGGCAACGGATTCTTCGATATGATACCAAAAGCACGAGGTACAGAAGAAAAAATAGATTAATTGGGCTTCATGACAATAAAAAAACTTCTGGGCATCAAAGGACATTATTAAGAAAGTGAAAGGACAACTTACAGAATGGGAGAAAATATTCACAAATTACATATCTGATAAGAGATGAATATCCAGAATATGTAAAGAACTCCTACAACTCAACAACAAAAAGACAAACAACGCAATTTTAAAATGGGTGAAGGACCTGGATATACACTTGGTTGTACAATATCATGAATGCATTCAACGCCACCGAGTTGTACACTTAAACATGATTAATATGGCAAATTTTATATTATATGTATTTTACCACAATTAAAAAAAAAAGAACAAATTAGGTTTTCTCGCAGGGGCCGTCGGGAGGAAACACGGTTGGGATCCTAGGAAAGGCAGCCATGACCATGTTTAATCTTTCTAGAGAAGCTGGGGCAACTGCGTGCTTAATTCTGCAAAAGTTGCCCACGCCTCGGCCAGCTCCCACCCTAAGGTACTCCCTGAGCTCCTGGATCCTTTCCACCACTCACATCAGAACCCCCGGATGCACTGTCTGACCACAAGGAGACCTCCGGAGCCCACTTCTGCCTCCTACCCGCCTAGCTGCTGTCTGCCTCCTTCTGTTCAATGTCCAGCTCCAACTCCACAGTTCTTGTCTTCGCCCCTCTCCCGGAGCCAAGGACAGTGCCTGACACATTGCAGGGCCCGCACTCCAGCCTGGCTGACTCCTGACTTAACCTCCTGGCTTCTGGGCCCGGCTCTACCTGGGCCTGGCTGGCTCTGGACACCCACCGCTTTGCGGCTGGGTCTCTGGCCTCAGCTGGGCTCCCGGCCCTGCTCTCCAAGCCTGGCCTGTCCCTTCTGGTGGCCATTACCACACACTCCACCCTCCTCAGACCCTGACACCGCCCCCCTTCCCTCCCTCTCAGAGACAACCTGGCCTAAGACTCAACATGGCTCAGTTCAGGACTTCCCCTTAGCGAGCCCTCCCTCCTGCGCAGCCAGCCTCTCTGTCAGCCTCTGGCCCAGGGCCTCCTGTCTTTGCAGGCCTTGCTCTTCCCCAGGCAGCGCCCCTGCTCACCTGTGTCCTCACCTCCTCCCTTCCAGGCCTGGCTGCCCTATCCCCTCCCCAGATCTCTTTCTTAGGGCTGCCTACATCTTGCTTCCCCTTCTCTGCCAGGCTCCTGTGGGGTCTTCTCCCCACGCCCTCCTCCTTCATCCCCGCTTTGCTCCTCAGCCTGCCGGGGTCTGGCTGAGGCTCCGACGACCCTCCTCTGACCTGCCCCTCTGGCAGTAGGAAGCACTTCAGTGCAGAAGTGGGGGAAATGAGTCTCTCCTAACCTCACTTGACTGGACTGAACGGCGCATGCTATTGGCCATCCTTGACCTCAGGGAGCTCTCCTTGCACCTCCGAGAACACTGATCCTTCCCTGTCTTGCCCTGGTCTCAGGTGGCTCAGGGCCCATTTGGACCTCCTGCCCTGTCCTGCCCAAGATGACACCACCCTATGGCTTCAGCTTCAGCTACATCTGATGGTTCCTGGATCAGTGTTTCCTGCCCACATCTCTCCAGGCTGGATAGGGCTCCGGGCTTGGAGACCTGGCTGCCCAGTGGTCAGTTCCCGTGGCTGTTCCACAGGTACTAGAGCCCACTGCCCCTAAACAAACTCGTCATCCCCTGAGACTTGCTCCTGGCAGCGAGGAGCTGCCCCACCCTCGCTCCGTCGCTCAGTCCAGCCGCCTGTGAGCCTCCTGCCTTCCACCTCCCTCACACACACTGGGATGGGGCCCTCTCTCTGCCTCCAGCTCAGTGCTGACCTTTCCACTCCTCTCTGCTCTCATTGTTCCCATTTAATGCATGTCACACCTGCTCCTGCTGGGACAGCGGACAGCCCACTACTGACGGCCCTGTCTCTCATCTGACTCTGGATCCAGGCCCCTATCCACCCACTCATCGATACAACAAACAAGGTTCCTGAGCACCTACTATGTGCCAACCGCACGGTGGTCTTTTTAGACTGTAGATGACCTCCCTGCTTACCAGCCTACGATGGCTCGACTTCAGCAATGGGTCCAGCTCCTTGGCCCTTCCAATCAGACTGTGGTAGGGCTCCTGCCTGGCTCCCAGGACCCCAGTGTGTCTCTAGTGCTTCAGCTTCTATAGCTGCTTCTCCCCAACCCCACCCCAGATGAGGCCAGCCCCAGAGGCGAGAGCTTGGCAGCCCACGTGCTCCAGGGGTGAGCATGGTTCCGGTCACAGTGGGTGCTGGCCAGCTGCACCCATGGCCCTCGCTCAGCCTCTTGCTCCCTTCCTTCATGGGCCAGGGGTGGCCTGGCTCAGCAGCAGCAATGCCCAAGTGGGCAATGGCACGGGGGGCAGGATAGGGCTGGTCAGAGGGGCCTGCCAATGGGGCACCTACAGGGTGTGTACCCTGGGGTGGGCACATCAGGACCCCATGGGTGGCATTGGGGGGATGGAATGGCCTCCTGTCCTGGTCAGGAGTCTGGTGCCTTGGCCTTCTTTCCCCCATCCATACGATGGGAAGAGGCACTCCGGGCCATCTGTCCAAGGGACTGCAGATGCATTCAGGAGGGGCCCGAGGAGAGGCTTCATTACCCTGACTCAGGAAACTCCAAGCTACCTTCTCTTACCTGTGAGGCATAGGTGTCCAGTTTCTCAAACTGCCGCAGGTCCAGGGGCATGGATTTCAGGCTGGACCGATCCCAGGGGTAGGCTGGAAACACAGGGGGGCTCAGTCAGCTAGTGAGGCCTGCTGACAAGGGGCTTCTCTGTCTTTTTGAGGAGCTGGGATTGCCCGACCTTCAACATGCTTCCCAGAGCCTGAAAAACAGCTCCCAAGAGCTAGATCTCCTAGAAGGGTTCCTTGGTCAAATTGGCTTGTGAACGATGGCAACTCCTCTAGTTCTTTTGGAGACTCACAGGGGATCTAAGCCTATTTGTAGACCCCGGGAAGTCAGCAGTAAAGAAACTAATTTCCCCTCAATTAACTCAGCAGTGCCCAGACAGATTAATGATGGAACCGCCTTCTCCTCATCTTAGAGTTTTCTGCAGATTTCCTGCTAACTGTTCCAGAAATGAGTGCTCTGTGGGAAGTGCCCAGGAATGCTGCCAGTCCCCAGTGGGCTCAAGAAAGGAAGGTCTGTGCCATAGCCACAGTGCCCAGGGTGGAAGGCACCCTGGGTATTGAAGGAGGGTGTGTTAGACCAGGCCATGCAGGCTTCTGTAGGGTAAAGTGGGTTTGGCACCCAGACAGGATTCCTCCTGTGCCCACAGTCAGCTGGAGACTGGAGCACCCCAAGAAAGCTACGTGTGTTCTAGCAACAGGCACCCCAAGTTCTATGCGGAGGCCTCTGAGGGACACTGGGCCCCAGAATCACTCATCTGTGCTCGCCTTTCTCATAGGAAGCCGGGACACAGGACAGCCCCAGTCAGCTGCTGCAGGGCTAACTGACCAGTGGTCAGACCAGCCATGGATGGGCAGCAAACCCCTGTCTCAGCTTGAAAGAGAGCCTGGGCTCTGGCAGGGTCCCTCTTTTTTTTTTTTATTATGTTATGTTAATCACCATACATTACATCATTAGTTTTTGATGTAGTGTTCCATGATTCATTGCGTATAACACCCTGTGCTCCATTCAATACGTGCCCCCTTTAATACCCATCACCAGGCTAACCCATCCCCCAACCCCCCTCCCCTCTAGAACCCTCAGTTTGTTTTTCAGAGTCCATAGTCTCTCATGGTTCCTCTCCCTCTCTTATTTCGCCCCCTTCATTTTTCCCTTCCTGCTATCTTCTTCTTCTTTTTTTTTTTGAATATATAATGTATTATTTGTTTCAGAGGTACAGATCTGTGATTCAACAGTCTTGCACAATTCACAGCGCTCACCATAGCACATACTCTCCCCAATGTCTATCACCCAGCCACCCCATCCCTCCCACCCCCCACCACTCCAGCAACCCTCAGTTTGTTTCCTGAGATTAAGAATTCCTCATATCAGTGAGGTCATATGATACATGTCTTTCTCTGATTGACTTATTTCGCTCAGCATGATACCCTCCAGTTCCATCCACGTCATTGCAAATGGCAAGATTTCATTCCTTTTGATGGCTACCCTGAGCACACCTGATCTCGTCTGGCAGGGTCCCTCTTATTCAAGGCCGACCAAATCAGGCAAGCTGAATGGGAGGCCAGGGAGTGGGCAAGGAGGGTGGGGCCAAAGGGATGCTGATCCCTGAACTCACTGATAACCCAACTCCCCTGAGAGGGGTGCTGGTGGGGCACCAGCGCACGGCAGTCAGCCTGGAAACTGCAGAGCAACATGGGAAAACGCCTGATGGGGGCTGCATGAAGCCTAGGTTCTCGTGGGGGCCTGACCTTCACGACCTCCACCTCCCTGGGGGCTGCTGGACTCAGGCGCACATCTATGGGGCACCTGGGAGAGTGAAGGAGACAGCGGATCGTGTTGTAAAGTCAGCACTACTCTGCTCCCTGGGAAGGTGCAATGTGGGGGTCCTCTGTGGGCAAGCACAAGAAGAGAGGTATAAAGCCTCTGTGCCCACTGTGGGGGCTGCAGCTGCATCTGCCTGCACATCCCTCACCTTGGTGCGGCAGGCCCAAGACCTGGGGTGAGAGAGAGGGGAGGAGCTCCTGCACGACCCTCCCTGGCCAGTTCTGGCTGAGAGGCAGTGGCAGCTGGTTAGGGAGCTGGCCAATTTCTGGTCACAGAGACTCCCAACCTCGGTCAGCTGTCCGAGCAGCCCATGTGGGTCCGTCCACATTTCCCCACTGCTGCAGGGTCCCTTCCTGTTAGGAACCGGGCCTTCTTTCTTCTCAACCCGACTGGATCTGGCACATTCCCCAAGGCCACTCTGCGCTGCGTTCTTGCTTCTTGCTGACACTCTGCAGCAGGCCCTAGAGGGATTTGGTCTCTCTGACCCCAAGCCGCTGACTGGGTCCTCACCATGTCATGTGCTTGGACACACCCAGGATCTGAGGGCTGTTTCTCTCCCAAGAGGGGGCAGAGTGTGCCGGGGGCGGGCAAGCTATGTAAACCTGACCTTGAGGCTGTGGTTGTCACTCACCAACCTAGCATTTTCTGCTCCTTCTACAAGGGACCAAGACATTTCCTGGACCCTCCCCAAAACCTTCTCTCCTGTACAGTCTTACCCTGGGGCTCCCTGGAAGCCTAGCACCATTGTGGCTCACTCCTCTGTTGTTGCAGCTGGGATCTCTTGTCTCTCATTACTTAGATGACTGTCAGTCCCTATCCTGTGTGGTGTGAGCACAGCCCTTGTCCAGCCAGCCCCTAGGGAGGCGGTGGGGATGCGCAGCAGGCTCTCAGTGCCTTCTCCCTCCACGGAATCTGGATCCTGCCATTCTCTGACAAGGGCTAGCAGGCTGACCTAAGTGGATATGAAGTGGACTTACATTTAACAAATTTCCGCTCAGCACAACTCTGCAAATGAGGTCTCCCCCGCCCCCATTGAGAACAAGGATGACATTTCTAAAATGGGACTGAAAACCCTATTACTAATTTTACCCTTTCTTGGTTCCATTTTACAATATCTGAACATTAAAAATACCCACAATGATTTATGCCTCATTAAATTTACCTTCTGAAGAGATTACATAAGATCTAAATATGATCTTGCATAATTACATTTAAAATACCAGTGGCATTAACTGAATTATTCTAATTTTAAAGCAAAACAATGGGAAGAAGTGCCAAACTCTACCAAACCTTAGATGCCACCTGGTCTACTGAGAGGAAAACTGAGGCCCGAGGAAGGTGAGTGAGGAACAAAAATAGGATTCAAAGCCAGGCCATCTATCACCCCATTCAGGGTTTTACCCTCTGTCCCATTCTGTGTATTCACATGCCCCCTACCTTACAGATGCTTGGCATTCCATTTAAAGTTAACACAGTTCTGAATTCTGTTTTTAATATGTATTCTGTAATGGGCTGCCTTGTTATTGGGGTTTATGCTTTAGCTTTGGGGTCATATGGTGTGTGAGCTTCTCATTACCCTGCCTGTGTCCATGGCAGACATTGCTAATCAATCATGATACTCATCTCCACCTCGAGTGCAGAGGTAACCCCAGACTCTCAAACAGATTGGTCCACGAGGCTAAACCAATTCACCACCTCACAGAACGGCCCTGGAGAAGGCCCTGCAACTCACCATGGGCATCTTTTGCTCCAGGCTGCCGGGGTCTTGTGTTTCCATTTTTATCACCTTGTAAGCCTGCAATATCCCAAAGGTCAGAAGTAGAGATGCTTCAGAAGAAATCAAAATGCAAGCACAGACAATTGTCTATGTGGTAGTCCTGGGTTCTGACTCCTCCTCTTCACTGTCTTTCCCTAGCCTTCTTCCTCCCATACCACCCACCATCTATTACTGCTGGAATTGCTCTGGACTTCCTCTTGAGGTGGAGGAAGGACTGGGAACCAGGGAGGGAATGACAAGAGAGACAACTGCAGTCTGTGACCAAAGGTGGAATTTACTCCGACATCAACACTTTGTGTTCCTCAGCGGGTCTACCTGGAGCCTGGAGCTCCTGCCCTGCTCTGGATTGCCCCCGCCATCTTGGAATACATCTGGGGATGCTAACAGCACCAGTGCATTCATTGTCAGTTAAGAACTGACCATGGGAAGAAATGAATGTGGGGCAAGGGAAAGGCAGTTTCTATGGAGTTGAAACCCAAAAAGGTCAAGCAATTATTAAATTATTCTTCAGGAAGGTTCAAGGGCAACCAAATCCTATCAATCCAGGACTGTTAATGTAGAATGGTTGCCAACAGTTATTTGACTCCATGGAAACAGGAGAGCTGCTGATTTGAAACCAGGTCAGGAAAATGTGGGTCTCTGATGGAACCAGGAGGAGCTGGGGAGTAGAGTGTCAAGGCGAGCTGTTTTATGCCCTTGAAGCCCACCGAAGGTTGTAAATATAACAATGGAAGGTTGCAAATGTATAGAGGCACAGAGAAACAGTGGTCCTTTAGTTTCTTGCATCTATATTTTATTTCCATGTTCATTCTTCGGTAGAGTAATGAGGATTCAACATCGAGCTAGCATTTCTTGTGCACTTACTATGCCTGCCTACCTTGTCCTTCAGATTGACTATCTCATTTACTTCACAACAGTATTATGAAGGAAGGTGAATTATTTTCCTTCTTTCATAAATGAGGAATTTGATTGCAAAAGGGAGGTTAAGCTACTTGCTTAAGGTGATAGCTGAGATCTGAGCCCAGCCAGTTGACTCCAGGGCCTGTCTGTTCTACACCTGACTGCCCTTTTGAGACCCTAACCACTGAGGGCTGCAGGACCAGGCATCCAGGTGTGCCTACCTTGCCCATGCATGGACATGGAGATAACCCGAGCCCTGGCTGCTCTGGAGGCTTCTTCATTCCTTGGCCAGCATTTCCCCAGATCCCTTTAGCCATAAGGTGGACAGATGCCCGGAGAGGACCAAGAAGGGAGTGGAAGAGACATCGTAGGCCTGAGTCTATGCACCTTGCACCGAAGACAGCCAAGCATGGTGGCTAAGAGCATAGGTCTCAGGCAGACCTGGTTCTGACCCACTTCCTAGCTGGTCCCTTGGGCAGTTATTTTACCTTTGGGGCCTCACTTTGCTGACTTATAAAGTGGGGATGATGCTGGTTTATATCTAAGTGTTAAAAAGTTAACGAATATAAAATCTTTACCACTGTGTATGCCAATTTTTAGGCAGACAATAAATGGTATCTAAAAACAACACTCTTGCGATGAAATTCATCTTTAGCTAAATGCCTTGTGTTACCCACACCTAATTGCACAGACTCAGGAACAGTGGGCGTTAGTTATGGAGAAAAGAGGTCCTAGAATGAAGCTTCTTTCCAGTGTGTAGGCCTAGATTATTCCTCTCCTTCCCCCATAAGAGGCCTAGGTTGGGCTCTGGCCCATTAAGTGACTTTGATTCCTCCCTGCCAGCCCTCCACACACACGCAGCCCTGTACGTACGTACGTTTAGCCAAGGAGAACTTCTTGAGCAGCTGGGGCATGGCATCTTGGGGGTGGACCTCCACAGTCAGCTGTGTCCCTGCAAAGGAATGGGAGGTGACATTCTAAGCCAGATGCTGCTAGGAAAGAGTGCAATGTCCTGTGACAGATGTTTGAACAACAAAACACAAAAAAAAAAAAGCTTTCTTCTGAATATACAAATAATTCTTGTTTAAAAAAAATGAAAAAACAAAATAGAAACAGACAGTTTTCAGATCCAGGCAAGATGGAATAAGAACATTTTACTTTGTCTTTCCCACTGAATGTGACTATAAATGTTGGGAAGAATGCATGGAGCAACTATTTGAGGATTCTGTAAGGTAAATCAGAGAAGGCAAGCTGGGGACTAAGATTAGAATTTAAGTGAGCTTACCATTCCCCTTCCCCTGTGGTTATTACTTAGACTGGACTCAAAGGCAGTCCCAAACCCAGAAGTGCACAAAGGGTACAGAGAAATAGTGTTCCAAGAGAAGTCCTTTCTGTGGAGTAAGAAAGGAAACCTCTAAGAGTCAGAGGGTGTGGGGGAAATCCCCTGTTGTACCCCGTCTTTTTTCTGTTATCTCCCCACTCAGCCTCTAGGAAAGTGTTGGTAGCAGTGTAGCAGTGATTTTGTTGGTCAGCCAAAACCTTAAGCACCTGAGTCTTTGAGGGAGGGCATTTTTTTTTTTATGATTCCCTAGAGTGTGGGGGCAAATACTCATTTTTTTTTTCTCTCTCTCTCTCTGTCCCACACTGATTGTGTCTAGGTGCAGAGTTATGAGAAGTGCCTGGCAGAGTGGAGAAACTAAAGTCCAGCTTTTGTGCTGGAGAATGGGAAGTGGATTGTGAAGGGGAGGGAGCTCAAGAAAGCAAATCCATACAGGTATGGATGAACTCTTGTGGTCACCTCTATGTTGAGCATACATGGATCTCATCCTAAGCATCATACCACAGTCTTTGCGAACTAAACTGATGGGGTAGACCAATGCCTCGACTGGCCCCTGGGAGGTGCGTGTGCAAGGCAGATCTGTATAGCATTGCAAAAGCTACAATCCAAAATCACCCAGCACAGGAAGAACCAGGAATATCTGTACTTGAAAGGAAAAGATAATCAACAGATGTTAACTCCAGGATGACAAAGATTTTGGAATTATCAGACAGACTTTCAAATAGCTATAGTAACCATGTTCTAAAAAGTGAGGACAAATAGTCTTGAAATAAATGGAAAGATACCAAGAATCAGCAAAACATCAAAAGCTATAAAGATAAAACAAATAGAAATTTTAGAGCTAAAAAGTGTAATAGTTTGAAAAATTATCTGGATATGCTAAATAGTAGAATGGAGATGACAGAGGAAAGAGTCAATGAATTTGAAGAAAAATCAATAGAAATTATCCAATATAAACAACAGCGAGAAAAAGTGAACAAAACTTCAGAGACCTGTGGGATAATACTTAAAGATCTAACATTCATGTTATTGAAATCCCAGAAGGAGAGGAGAAATAGTGTGGTGCAGGAAAAAAAAAATGAAGAAATAATGAGAAATAATCAATGAAACCACAAGCTGGTTCTTTGGAAAGATCAGCAAAATTGATAACCAGATTGACCACAGAGAAAGAGAGGTAAGACATGAATCAGGAATCAAGACATCAATATCAGGAATGAAATAGGTAAGACCACTACCGATCTCATTTATATTAAAAGAATAATAGGAGAATACTACAAACAACCCTATGCACATAAATTCTACAACTTAGATGAAATGGGCCAATTCCTTGAAAGTTACAAACTACCAAAACTCATCCAATGAGTAGGTAACACCTCAATATCCCTGTATCTATTTTAAAAACTAATTGTAGTCAAAATCTTCCAAAAGCAAACAAATGCCAGGTCCAGATGACTTCATCGACAAATTCTAAGACATATTTATTTATTTATTTATTTATTTATGTATTTTAAAGATTTTATTTATTTATTTGACAGAGAGAGACAGCGAGAGCAGGAACACAAGCAGGGGGAGTGGGAGAGGGAGAAGCAGGCTTCCCGCGGAGCAGGGAGCCTGATGTGGGACTCGATCCCAGGACCCTGGGATCATGACCTGAGCCGAAGGCAGACGCTTAACGACTGAGCCACCCAGGCGCCCTCTAAGACATATTTAAAAAGAAATAAGACCATTTTTAAAATAAGATCTTTCAGAAAACAGAAGAGTAGCGAATATTTCATTACCCATTTCATGAGGCCATCATTAATCTGATACCCAAATCAGACAAAGACAGCATAAGAAAGGAACACTACAGACTGATATTTCTTTTCTTTTTCTTTTGTTTTCAGGCCGATATTTCCTATGAACACAAAAATTCTCAAAAAGTATTAGAAAATTAAATCCAGCAATATAGTAAAGGACTAATATACCACGATCAAGTGTGGTTTATTTAGGCAATTAAAGGCTGGTTCAATATTTGAAAACCAATGAATGTAATTCACCTAATAATATTAGCAGGTCGAAGAAGAAAAAAACACATGATCATATCAATTGATGCAGAGAATGCATTTGACAAAATTTAACATCTATTCATGATAAAACCTCTCAATAAACTAGGAATAGGAGGGAGCTTCCTTAATCTGAAAAAGGGTATTTACCAAAAATCTATAGCTAAGAGCATATTTAATAGTCAAAAATGGAATGCTTTCCCCCTAAGATTGGGAACAGGCATGGATGTCCATACTCACTGCTCCTAATAAACATTGCACTGTAATTTCAACCCACTAAAATAAAACAAGAAAAATAAATAAAAGTCCTATAGATTGGAAAGGAAAAAAATAAAACTCTCCTCTTTCACATATGACATATCTCTCTACATAGGAACTATCAAGTAATCTAGAAAGAAAGTTCCTAGAACTAATAAGAAAGTTTAGCATGGTCACAGGATACAAGGTCAGCATCCAAAAATCAATTATATTTATATTCATAACAAATGATTGGAAATCGAATTTAAAAATTACTATTTACCATAGCTCCAAAAAATTGAAATACCTAAGTATAAATCTAAAAAAAAGTTCAGGAGCTATATGTTGAAAACTACAAAATATGATTAAACAAATTAAAGAAGACTTAAATAAGTGGGAAGACATACCATGTTCATGAATTGAAAACTCAATATTTTTAAATTGGCAATGCTCCCTAAATGGATCTATGTAGATTTAATGCAACTCCATTCAAACTCCTTGGAGAATTTTATATATTTTAGATTTAGGCAAGATGATTCTAAAATATAGATGGAAAGATACAGCAACTCGAGGTTTTTTTTGAAAAAAAAAAAAAAAAGTTGGAGGACTCCAGCCAGCTGATTTTAAGATGTGTTATAAAGCTACAGTCATCAGTGTGATATTGGCACAGGGATAGATACCTAGATAAATGGAGCACTGTTAAGAAATGGAGCCATACATATACGGCAAGTTGATTTTTTACAGAAGTGCAAAGACATTCCAATTAGAAAATGGGTAAAAGAACAGATATTCACCAAAGAAAAGATTACAGATGGCAAATAAGAACAAGAAACTATGTTCAACATGAATAGCCATTACGAAAATGCAAATTAAAACCACAATGAGGTATCATACCTATCAGAAGAGCAGTAATAAAAAATAGCGATAATACTATATATTGACAAAGTTGTGGAGAAATCAGATCTCTCACACATTGCTGGTGGGACTGTAAACTAGTACAGCAACTCTGGAAAATAGTTCGGCAGTTTCGTGAAAACAAAACATACACCAAACATATATGACCCAACAACTGTACTCTTGAACCTTTATCCCAGAAGATCCCATATTCTGTTCCACGTGGTCTCAGAACTTACGTTCACATGAGAACCTATACAGAAATGTTTATAGAAACTCCATTCACAATGACCCCAAACTGGAAACAACCTAAATATCCTTCAGTGGGTGAATGGACAAACACCCCGTGGTACATCCATATAAAGGAGTACTTCTCAACAATACAAAGAAACTCTTAGGAGAGGTAAAAGGATATAACTACAGAGATTCTGTAGTTATACCTGCACAAAATACCCTGCACAAGGGTATTTTGGGGTGACAGAACTGCCCTGTATTCTGAATGTAGGGGTGGTACATGAGCATGCGTTATGCATGCATTAAAACCCACAGAACTGTATACCAGATAATTCCGTTTTAGTAATTTAAAATAAAAACAAATAAAAATAAGTATCAACTGAGCAAAAAAGCCTGAGCAAAATTAAAACAAGAACTTGGATGATACAGAAAGATATAAAATAGAAAGTGAAAGTCCAAAGCAGGATTATAGTAAACATATTCTTTGTAACCTGCTTTCTCTTCTTGACTCTTCACATGTCAGTGAATATAATCCTATGTCATCATTTTAAGTGGGCTGCATAGTACTCTATTCTATACATGATTTATAATCCATATAAACAATCCCTTTTGGTAGCATAGTTAACTTTTCCCAAATGTTTTGTTATTATAATCAGTGATGTATGAACTTTATGCACTTTTCAAATCAGTTCCTTTAAATAAATTCTTAAATATGGATCAAAAGTTATGGAAATTTTTAAGGCTTTTGTTATATATTAGCAAACTTCCCATGAATGATTTTATCTGTTGATGACCACACCAACAGCACAAGAGGATGTCCATTTTGCTCATTCTTGCTGTGTTTGATTGCAAAATTGGTCACAAAACTTTGTACTTCTGAGAGGTCTTTTGTTCTGTCCCTTGAATGTGAGCTGTCCTTATGACGTGGTTTGGCTGGTTAGCATGTGATGTTAATAGAAGTGATGCTAGGCAAGCTCTGAGCCTAGGTCTCAAGAAACTTTGCAGCTTCCATCCTCATTCTTGGGATTCCAGCCACAAATACCATGTGAATGAGCCCAGACTAGCCTGCTGGAGGAGGAGAGACCATGTGGAACAGAATAGAGGCATCTCAGGTGAGGCCACCCTACCCTACCTGGTCTCTAGCCAACTTACCAGCTGACCACAAATACACGAGCAAGCCCAGCCAAGACCTGCGATGAACTGGGT